CCCTTTATTGTTGTTTTATTGTCTTATTTATTATTTGGTGGCTGTAATAATTTTTGGTATAGTTAAGGACGAAAATTGAGGGCTAGTAAAGTTTACACTAATTATAGGACCTTTGACGTCTTCGATACGGAACGAGTTTGGGCTGTTCAATGTGTGAGTTTCCTTAATTCTGCCACGTCACTTTCTTGACTAAATAATGATACTAACGATATAGGTTTACGATTAAATGTGAGGATTAGTTTAATCGTATGTATAAACCTTCCTTCTATTACTAGCTATAGAGCAGTGCACATTATGCTCATGTATTCACTTAGACATTAAAGCTTTCTGTAAGAGTATAAATGATATTAAAAAAGAGGATCTTGTTGGTCCCTTCTCTAATAATTGCACAGGCGTTTCTTTTGGAAAATTTTATTTTGTGTCTCGTACAACTGACATTAGTTGTATGAGACAACTTTTTGTCTCACAGTTTTGTGGACCCAGAAGTGTAAGATTGGGGTCCACAAATTTGTGAGACAAAAAGAAGCCTCATACAACTAGTATAAATTGTATGAGACAACTAGTATAAGTTGTATGAGACACAAAATAAAACTCCTCGTTTCTGTGCATCATTTCATACTTTTTGCATCTCATATTTGCAAATTGCCTAGAGGAGAAATAAAATGCTTAACTTAATTGGCACCCCAGAGATATCCAGTTTCTCCCAAGTAGAACAACTACTGATGAAAACACTAAATTCTCTTTTAGAACTACTAGAGTTTGAATATAATTATTAAAAAGGAAAAAACCCCCGCTGAATATCAATTACTAGACAGAGCAATCTGTATGATTTCTCAGAGCCATTGAAACTGAAGTTATTTATGTGGTATTAGAAGCTTATGGAGTATACATGTTGTGATCATCAGCTGAAAAAAGATGGTGGATAATATAATCTTAGATGGTAGATAATATAATCTTTTTCTCACGGGTTCGAATCATAAAATCAGTTACTAATAATTGCATTAGGTTAAACTATCTATATCACATCTCTTTGGGTACGAAATCTTTCCCCGAACCTTGCATGAGTGCGAAATCTTTCCCCTGAATGTGGGATATCTTGCGCGGGACTGTCCTTTTTCTTTTTTGTTTAATTAAAGCAAAAATCTAAGCTTGGCAAATATTGATTCTTGCATATACTCTGTGGAATCAGTGAGAAAAACTTTCCAGTCATGCAAGATCTAGACAAGGAAGACAATGTTTAATTCGTCCAAGTGAAGCTTTTAGTTTTATTATTACTACTGGCAATTGCATTATTGTCATGATTAATTTGTTGGGAATAAACCCCGTAAAATAATATTTACGGTATTAGTGATAAACGTAGAACACTAAGTTATGGTTAAATCGACAAGAATAGAAATGCAGTAATAATGACACCAAGATTTTACGTGGAAACCCTTTTGAATAAGGGAAAAAACCACGGCCAAGAAGAACAACTGATATCACTATAGCGAAGAATTTTACACTGTGTAGTAACTAGTAAAAATACTCTTAAGACCACTACACCTTCAAAAGAAATAAACTCTTTTATTTTTTCTACCTCACTACAATATCTCTCACACCCTATTTTTCTTCACAAACTATTTTCTTATAGTTTATGGAATATCGTGCTCTCTATCTTTCACTTTTTGTTAGTGTGATGATATGAGAGTTGAAGCTCTCCTTTTATAACCAAAAACTCACTCTCTAAAGCCTACAATATTTGACAATTTATACATCTTTTTCACAATTTCAACAAGGTTGGCTACTAAACCAAACCAAGTCAATAAAATTGGCTACCAAATTATACTAATTCAACAAGGTTGACTACCAAACCAAACCAAATTAACAAAATTGACTACCAAATCATTTGAACGAGATAGACACCATATCATAATTAACTATATTCTAACAAAAACAGAAGGTGTTGAAAGTTGTGATTCACCTTTCGCGCTTTCAGCTCCTAATTAAGAGCAACTGTACTCATCATAGCAGCTTTTTTATTTCTATGATTAACCAGAAAATAGTCCTCTGTAATTTTAGCGGACTTGGAATACATTAAGAAGTAATTGATACGAAAAATTAATCCATAAATAAGAAATAAATGAATTAAAAGCACACGCAGTATACATATTTTGATGCACTCAGCAGACTGATGTGTATGAACGTGGTAGAAAACTTCATTTTTAAGACCTAGTTATTCAAAAGATACAACAAGCTGATCTAAGAGAATATATTAGAAGGGAAAAACTTGAAGAAACTAGAGAAATATTTTAGGCTAAGAAAAGCATGAGCAAACATATGACCAAGTTGAACTTGTGCTGGGGTAGTGAGATGAATACCATCTGGACCCAGTTCTAGTCCCTTAGCATCTATTTTGACCACATTTGGGACATTGATCGCCAACTGAGCTGCTCTCACTTCTTCTATATATGGCCCTTTAAATGGCTCCTTTGGATATGGAAGGATAACCTGTCAATATATAAAAATTAAATCCTAACATATATAATCAAGAATATGTGAAAGAATTAATGGAAGTTACATATTTGGTCGGCCGGCCAAAAATAATAATATCTTTCAGGCAACTATATAAAAAATACCTTAAAAAATATATATTAGCCCGTAAGGGTTGACTGAGCTGGTTGGATGAGTGATTTCCCACATGGGAGACCTAGGATTGATTCCCCTCACCACCAGCCTCCTCAACCAGAGCTCGTCGCATCGAACTTGTCTAGTGTGGTTTAATCTCCTATGTGATTTACGAGCTATTGCCTAGTGCGCACGGGCTGTGGGTTTCCCCGGGAATTTTCCAAAAAAAATTATGTATATTATACCCTAATTTACAAAAAAAAAAATATATTCTATCGGCTATTATTTTTTGGAGCAACAATATTGTGTAATTTTCGCAAGAATAATTATTATGTACCTGCAAAATGGGGAGGTTAGGAGAATTCAAATCAGTGCGCAAGTCATGAATGAATTTCTCCAAGTTGGTTTTATATACTTTTGATCCATTTCCACCCTTTACATCACTCTCCCCATGATACCACAATAACCCCCTAATTGTTCCTCCATCTTTCTCAGCAGATTTGGCTCTTTTAACCAAATCATCATAAGGTAAAGACCCACGTTGCCATTTAGACAGAGGAGTCCCTCCTCTAGCACAAGGTACTAAACCTATGACACCAAATTCTGAATCTTTTTTAAGGATCTCATTAGCGAAAGCCATACCAGGGCCAAGTCCACAACTTGCTAAGCAATCAATCCCATAATTCATAGGCTCATGTGCTTCTTCCCATTTTAAAGCAGCATTAAATCGTAAAATTTTTTGGTTTGGTTTGCATTCTTTAGGCACAAAACCATTCCAAACTTTGGTAATAGTTCCTTCTGTTGAAACTTCTTTAGTAACTCCACCACGTCCAGCCATGTTGCTTTGCCCTGCTAATAAAAATATTTGTACATTTTTTTTGCTCGTATTTTCACATTCCTTCACTCTCTTTGGACTCATCAACCAACATAAGTTTGAGACCAGTAAAAGAAATGTTAAGATCAGAATAATTTCATCAGTTTTATGCTTCACCATATTGTACTAACTCTTTTTGGAGGTGAACTTGAAATCCCCCCAAACAAATATTCTTCTGGTTTTAAATATTTTAGGACAACAGAAGTAGTTGAATGCAGAGGAATAAAGTTTTTGTTTTGGAATCTATTTTTCTTTGTTTAGGAGGATTGATATGCCCACGTTCTACATATGATGCTAGTTTCTAACATTATTATACTTCCTTTTTTAGTGTATGCACTTAATTTCGTCACTTCCTTTCGGTAATGGCTGAATGAAATGCATAGCTTAAACGCTTTCTTTAAAAAGCAATGAGAAGGACCAAAATTGTGAATTGCTCTTAAATAATTTATAATACAATGTTAGCAAAAGGTTGATTATATTTTTTACTTGAAAATGTGGGAAAAGCTAAATATAGAAAAGACATATTGATGAAAATCATTCCAATCATATAGTGGGAGATATTTAAGCATAATGCTAGGCTGTATTCACTGCATTTATCTTCTAGTATGTAGATTATTGAACATGAGCAGGTTATCTCAAGTATATTATCTGCATAATCCTGGCATTTATATATGCTCTGTATAAAAGTGTTACTGTATGATTCTTCTCTTTCTTTTACTATTTCTCTTTTTCTTGTGAAGAGTAAAGTATCCATATCATTTTTAATTTACTTACTTCTACTGAATATAGGATGATATAGAAGGGGAGCATTTGAATAATGATAAAGTTATTTCGGTGCATCAAGTTGCAATTTTTTTAAAATATAGGGTGATATAAATGATTCCATAAATAAGAAAAAAATGATGAGAAACAGTTCTAATAATCATATGAGGACAACGTTATCATATACTTTCCAATTCGGAGTCCAAAATTATCGTTACTAGGAGAAAAATGTTTGGGTGAATTAATAATCGTTCACAAAACTATTTCTCATATATTCCTTTTTTTTAATAGTATAAGCAGAGGCGGATCAAATATTTTAATATTCTATGGGTTCAATATTTAAAGTTTTTAACATTGAACACATTATATTTTAAAGTTATGAGTTCATATCTACTATATATTATAAATTTAGTGATTTTTACATATATATTTATGCTCTGTGTCGAAAATACTGGATTCAGTTGAACGTGGTAGTTGTATGTTGCATTCGCCCTGGGTATAAGGATGGTTATTCGGCATCCGGTTAGTCCAACTAATCTGGATTCACACGGCATAGAAACCATTAAGTATTCGAAACCATATATCTTTAATTAAGGGTGAAAGGATCTCATTCAATTAATCTGTTTGACCAAAAAGTACCAAGCTTTTTGCTAAATTAATTAATGATAAAATTGAGGATGAATCTTAGTTAAATATAATAATTTCTAGATCTAATATTGAAGGTTACCACCGGCACGGATGATGTTCGAGAATAGTGAATATCAGATGTGAGCTTAATGATTGCCCATGAATGTTACAATAATAAGAACATGCAATAAATGTAGATAATGATAATAAATGTAATAAGAGGGAGTTTGTCACCCAAATATTAGGTGACTTAGATGATTCTTCCACCTGATAGCAACGTGGAAGGATGGGAAGTGAGGATGGATAAAGAATCTTTGGATCTAGCAAGCAAACAATGAATAACGTGTCTTTTGCCAAGTAGTGAGTGAGCAAGACAATATTTATATATTCTCCTTGGTCAACTCTTTATAAAGCGTTCTTATCAAGAAAAGTGAAATTTCTCCTTTTTGTTCTCTATCTTTTCCTATTTACAAGGGAGGTTTCCAAGAAACTCTAAAAAGTACAAAAATAAGGAATATCCAAAGGAATATTCCGTGTGTCCATTTCTAACCTATCTTGCCGTTATTTCTGTACTTCAGTTGCTCGTCCTTGACAACAGTTCTCTCGAAGATGGCTTCCCGCTATTACGCCGTGGTCAACCCCATCCTTGATCCTGTTTATCTAACGTTACCAAGTCGCTAAATTTAGACCAATACAATTAGTCCCTCTGCTTGTCGAGGTCATGGTCTTGCACGCTCTCGATAAGCGAACCTGGTTTGCGTCCGGTTAGAAGAAATTTGGTCGTGTTAAATAAGTCGAATCAGTCGAGGTCAAGAAAATGGCATAGCCAGTGAGGCTGTGGTTGGTGTGGCTGACGTGAGGTAACGTCATGGCCGTGCGCGCCATTATTACGCGTCTTTCCGATGCAGCATCTGTGCGTGTGCCGCTTCGATTTTGGTTCCATTGGCGGTCCTTTGCTTTAATTCTCGCACCACCAACCCTATAAATAGGTGGGAGGTTTCATTTTTCGGAAGTTTTCACCATTTCTCACTTTGCATGAGTACTATTCTTCTCTGATCTTCTTCTCCAATTTCTGTTTTCGATTTCTCGCAGCTTCTTCAGTTCTAAGCCCTTCTTTCTTACCCAGTTGTTATCTCCTTCTTCAGACTTTGTTGTATACGTTTTGCTATTGAAATATGTCACAATCTTCTCACACTCACGATGAGGTTTCCGATGCCACTCCATTGTCGGTGGTCCTTTCTCCCGGTGGTGAGGAATTCATGACTGAAGAAGATGAAACCTTCCCTACCGCAGAAGAGATAGTCCCCAAAAACCCTTTGGTTAGGAATGATTTTCCAAAGGAGCCTACTCCTGCCCCTTCTCAGAGGCTTTCTGAGACGGGACCACCTCACATTGCCAACCTCCGATCCAAATATCACATTCCTCCCCACTTTGAAATTGTTCCGGCTAGAAGCGACATTGTGGAGGTTCATCGACCCGGATACTGTGCCTTCCATGTCTATCCATTCTTGATTGGTTATACTCCTCCCCTCCTTCCGCTAGCGGAGGCGTTTTGCCGATTTTACAATATCTGCCTGGCGCAACTCTCCCCCTATTTGTATAAAGTTTTCTTAATACTGATGAAGTATGCAGAGTTGGCTGGCTGTGAGGTCGACGTTCGCCACCTGCTGCATCTATTTTCTCCAAGTTTTATAGAGGTACTTTGATACACCTACGGAATCGTAGGACCAGAGGGTAGGTGGTCTAAATGGATGACAAAACGAATCAAAAGTCCTGGCATAAGTACTTCTTCATCAAGACCGAACACCTAGTAGCAGACCCAACTGGGTTTTCCGAGCAGTGGAACTATAATCGTAAGTGTCTTACCATATGCTTGTTATCTTCTTTCGTCCTTTCATTTCGGCTCACTTGCAGCTTTTTTGTTTTTCAGCTGAGAGGCGTGCACCTTCACCTATCTTTGATATTGAGGATTGGGTGGCTCGTGTATTACCTCACATCATAGGAATTCGTGATTAGGCGTCCTTTCACAAGCGTTTTGGACCCAAGATCCAGTCTAGTAAGTGTCACTTTTGCTTCAGCTTATTGTTGTTTACCATTGCTCTTTGATGCGACCTCCCTTTGGTACTAGGTCAGCAAATTTCCATGAAGAAGGCTCCAGCGCCAGCATTCCGCCAAGCTATCGCGTCGGCTAAGATGCAATTTGCTCTAGCCGAGTCTGCTCGAGGAGGCTGCTCCACCAATGAGACTCCGCCCCTCAGACAGTTGCCGTGCGGGATGAGATCTCTTCCCAGCCTATCTATCATCTTATGGACTAGTCGTATGGTGAGGAATCGCTATTGAGGAAAAGGCGAAGAGTGGAGATCGAGAAGGCCGTCATCACTGACATCAAACTGAAAAAAGTCATTGATTTGGAAGCGACGTCTGCACTTGCACCAGACGTAAAGACCATTTTTATGGCGAGTGCCATTATGGAGAGGAGGCCCTCTAGGGTGGAGGGGGTTCGTGATGGGAGAGAGCTTGTACGGGTCGCAGAAAGTGGCGCGTCATTGTCGGCTGGGGGAAATAAAGTGGTCCCTATGGGGGACAACAGTTTTGGCTCGGACGTCGACCCTGAGAAGGTACGGGCCTTCCTGGAGAGGAATACTCGTGTGGAGATAATGACGGAGGGTCCTAATCGGCACGTAATCATTCCAGTGGGTTACGACCTTTTGGCCAACTCAGAACGGGCGGTGCCATCCTTTGCTCCCCTGTGCGTAGCTTCTGAAAACATTGTACTACAGGCGATGAGCGATGCGGAGTTGTCATTGAGTATTTCTAGCATGGCCCGGTGAGTAAGTGCTTTTTAATTTTAGGATTTGTTTCGCATGTGTAATTTGCTCATACTGACTCCTTTCTTTGCATGTCAGACTCTTATCATGGGGATTGAGCGTGATCGGCAGAAGGAGCGGAGGACGACCATCTTTAAGAAAATGACCTCCAAGTACAAGGAGAACCGTACTAAGCACCAATGCTGGCTGACGTCTTTAACCAGGATGGTGAATTTCAGTTGCTTCATGAAAAGCTTAAACAAAAAGATGATGAGTTAACGAAGAAAGATAAAGATCTAAGGGAGAGGGATGATGCGCTAATGAGAGCCATCGGTAGGTGCAGTGAGCTTGAGGCAGCTCTAAAGGTCAAGGAAGATGAGCTCGAGGTGAGCAAGGGGGTGATGGCTGAGAATGCTGACTTTCAAACACAGGTGGCATCCTTAATGGTCGAACTTGAGCGGAAGGAGGCAAGGGCTGTCGATCTAAGGGGTGAGCTGAGCACCAAGGTCAAAGAATTGAGTCCTGCCGTGAAAGGCAAAATGGCCGCTATGGCTGAAGCGACGGCCTTAGAAGATGCCCTCCGCGTTTGTAGGTCTGAATGGGATAATTTGGTAGAGACATTGGCGCTTAAGGTAGCGAGGTTAGAATAACGAAATCAGGGTTTGGAGGCAGAGCTGTCTGGATTGAACAAACAGGTCATTGTCTTGAAGGCTGAGGAGGTATGACAACAGTCACAACCATCTACATCTCATACTTCTGCTGATCCCGGTGTGCCACGGGAGTTGTGTTAGATGTGGGTTCATGCCGAGGCTCAATTTGACGTGTATAAGTCTTTAAAGGCCGTCGGGAGAGTTTCGAAACAGAGCTTAAGGGCGTCCGCATCAAGGCGCATGCGGCCCATAAAGCTTGTAGTTACGCCCCTGGTACGCCTGGTGGGGATGAGGATGACGACGATGC